CTTGAGCCACATCCCCAGCCCTAAAGTGAGATATATTCTAATTACAAAAAATAAGTGCAGAAATATTTTTAAATAATCATTAGTGGTAGTATTGGTATTTTCTGAAACTATTGTGAGATAAAACAAATGGGTACTAATGTTGTTGGTATTTTTGAGAATCAGGATTAAAGATAAAGAGGTACTGATTTATGTTGATGAAGTTAAATGAAAACTCTAATTTAAAATTTAAATTGCAAGGCTAATTGAGTTCATGCTATATTTTATCCAAAATGTTTTATTTGCCTTATCTTGAAAAGAACAAGAAACAATGACCCAATAATAGCAATGAATGCCTCCAGTGTCCAGATGATGATATTTAAATACTATCTCCCAGTATTTCCTACTAAAAGGGGACTCTAGGACTCCTTGGAGAAACAGCTGATTCCAGATTTGGAATTGTCCAAGATAAACTAGAAAAAATACAATATAATATAATTTTAATAGTTTTTTAAAACTATTATTTTAAGTTTTTAAAAATAATTCAGGAGGCAACTAGAATACAATAGTTACTACCAACCAAAGATGAGACTATTTGATTATCAAAATGGATTGAGACACTTCAAATACATTTATATCCATGAGCTCACAATGATACTTACAAGTATAAACTCATTGATCATTTTTGGAAAATATTAGCAGATCATCTCATTATTTTGAAAACTGCTAGTATTTGGAAATAATCAAGTATTTATCCTGTTTTTCTTATGGGAACCATATCTGAAGATGACAGGAAAATTTCTCTTTATAGACGTATTCCAGAAGGAATAACATAATTAGAATACCAGCATTTATAACTTTAAATGAGTTAGTATATCTAGGTCATGAGCAACAATGGCTATTAATTCATCACAAAAAGAGAGGTAAACATTATGTCCTCCTAATTATAGGTGCAGTTCACAACTCCACCTTGAGTGAAGTAGTAGCCTTGCAAAAACAAAACAAATTAAAAAAGACTTCAGTCTGAATTTGATTAACCCCTAGTCTAGAGCTGACTAGTAATTCACAGTAAATGCTGGAGACATCAAATGGCATCTCAGAGGTTTAAATTCATATTGGGAGAATAGCATACAGCACAAATGACCTGGATTCTTAAAACAAAACAAAAAACCAAACTTGAGACATCAAACAACTGCAGAATAATGGACTTTATTTGATCCTAATTCAAGAAAGCAAAATAAAATTATGAAACAACAGGAAATTTGAATGCTGATGAATATTTACCTCATACTTGATGATTTATAAGGAATTGTTAGTTTGAGGCCAGCGATATAGCTTAGTTGGTAGAGTGCTTGCTTTACATGCATTAAGGCCCTGGGTTCAATTCCTGGCACCCCCCCAAAAAGTTGTTGGTTTGAAAAATGGTGCTTTTTTTTTTTTTAAAGAGATAATATATTGAAATATTGCAGATGAAAAATTTGCTTCCAAATAATCTGGGGTAAGGAAGAAGTGGGTGGGGTAATAATAAATAAGATTGAAATCTAGAAACATGAAATTGATAATTGTTGAAACTGTCAGCAAAATGAAAAAAATGACAGGATGGAAGCAGATTATTCTGATATTTTTCTAGATCTTTGAGTTATGTATCAAATCTAGGGCTGATCATTCCATACTTTCTTAAACCTGCCTATGAGATTCAGAGTAATTTTCCTCACTCTGTAATCATCAATGATTTCAAATACACCAATGTAATCATGGACAATGACTTTGGAGCATAGCCTAAGAAGAACCTGGTGTTTGCCTCCCTTTTTGGAATTATTGGTTTCTTGAGAGCATCAGCCAAGGCATTTATGAGCTCTGTTATGGCAGCATGGAAAGATGGTGGAAAGAGCTAATATATATTCACATATAAATATATGTAAAGAGTTAAAATATTCATATCTATGTATATATAAACACAAAAAATGCACACATGCATACTTTCAGAAGAGAGCTTATTTGGTCATTTTTGTGATTGCAGAGTAGGTCTTGACTTGATCATTAAGAACCCAGTTTTAGAGCTGGGGATGTGGCTCAAGCAGTAGCACACTTGCCTGGCATGTGTGCGGCAGCACCACATACAAACAAAGATGTTGTGTCTGCCTAAAACTGAAAAATAAATATTGAAATTCTCTCTCTCTCTCTCTCAAAAAAAAAAAAAAAAAAAAAAAAAAAAAAAAAAAACTTGCAGCTGACTGGCACCTGATCCCCCAACCTAATGGGTCAGCTGCAAGTTTCTTTAAAAAAAAAAAACAAAAACAGTTTTAGGGGTGGGATTGTGGCTCAGTGGTAGAACCTTTGCCTAGCATGTGTGAGGCACAGGGTTTGATTCTCAGCACTGCATATGAATGAAATAGAGGTCCATTGAAAACTAAGAAATATTTTTAAAAAAGTTTTAAAGAAAAGAAATACACACACAATCCTTTGTAACCCCTAAAACAATGGTCTTCTGAAAGATTGTTCCTATTTGTTCTGATCTGAGCAGAATCACAATAGGATCAATTTTGTATAAATGTCTAGACCTTTTTTTTTTTGTATTTTGTATAAATGTCTATCTAGCTAGAGCTCACACTTTTCAGGCAATCAAACCTTGTACATAAGGATAAAAGTCAAAGAACTGTCAATAAATGCAGTAACTTTGATATTTCTATTGTATTTTTCTAGAAGAGAATGAAGAGGATTACAGACATCTGTGAAAGAATAAGCTTTGCTTCATGATTTCTGTTCCTCACTTAAAAAAAAATGCTGGACTATGAAGACTAAACTGGTAACTTGAAAATCAACTACCTGGCATATATTTTAAGACAATTGTTCAATATAAGAAGCCTAAGTTTGGAATAGGTAAGACTGGTTTTTTATTTTTTTGAAATATGGAATAAATTATACTAGTAATAATTACCAAACTTAGACTTCTATTCTCAGATAAACTATTGTTCCGGATTTAAATATAAGTAAAAACATGTTCAAACAAACCAAAACTTGAAGGCATTTTCCACCAATAGATCCTTACTAAAAGAACTGTTGGGAGCTGGGCATGGTGGCTCTCACCTGTAAGCCCCGCTACTTGGGAAACTGAGGCAAGAGGATTATAAGTTTGAGGTCAGCCTTAGCAATTTAGCAAGAACCTGTTACAAAGAATAAAAGGGACTGACATACATGTGTATGTATGTGAATATGTGTATGTGTGTGTGTGTGTGTGTTCCTTCTGCTGTGTCAGAATATATGTATATTTGAGCTGAGTCTCATTATGTTGCCCAATCTGGCTCCAAACTCTTGTGCTCAAGGGATTCCTTTGTCTCTACAGGCACATGCCACCTCATCTAACTAAAGAGATTGTTATTATTTTATTGAGGCTTTGATTATGTTTGGTAGAGCCAGCTCACCAGTGGCTCCTGGGAGCTACAGACCTTAACAACATCTGAAAAAAAGTATTATTCCTTACTGATGAGATCTTGATTGTGAAGGTGGAATGTGAGTATCTGGTAAAGGTACTTGGCAGTGAAAATAATGAGAGAGAAACAGTAGGATTACTTAGAATTCAGTTGTGGCAGAATATATTGAGATGTGTCACGGAGACCTTGAATATAGAATAACCCAAATCTTTAGGCTTTCTTGTCTTCAGGATTCCTCAGTTGAGCCCCATTGACATTATGGGAGGGACAATTCTTTGTTTACCATGCAGAACATTTAGCATTCTTGTCCCCTCTCCCCCACCCAGTGCCAGCTGCATGTGCAGACACTGTAAATCTTAAAAGTGATTCAATATAGCTCTTTTTTTTTCTTTTTTCTTTTGGCACTGGGGATTGAACTCAGCGGTGCATTATCACTGAGCCACATCCCTCGACTTACTTTCTTTCTTTATTTTTGAGACAGGGTCTCACTAAGTTGCTTAGGGCTTCGCTAAATTGCTGAAATTAACTTCAAACTGGTGATCCTCCTGCCTCAGCCTCCCGAGTTCCTGGGATTACAAGCGTGCCCCATTGATTCTATATATTTCAACCTACCTACCTGCTTGAAGAAGTTAATACCACTCAATAGAGGAATACTACTAGCTATTGTTAATCCTAGATTTCTCACACTGTGACCTAAACTGGCTTAGTAGAAGTTTTTTCACTGTATGGAAGACTTTAGGGATAGTTTATTTTGAACTTTAAGGGTATGACCTTCCAAATACTCTCACATAACAGAGGTGGTTATTCCTCTTAATTTATATACTTGGCTTCTCTCTGGAGCCGCTCCAGAACAGGACCACACAAAAGTAAACCTCAGCCTCTTTACCTGTAGAATCTGGTTTTATTAAGAGCTCTAGGACTTTCTTGCACCCTAGTCCAACCATAACTGCGCTGCTTTGAGCTGTTTGACACTTTGGGTGTTGTGGTATGAATTCATATTAGGAAAAGGGGCTTTATTACTAAAATGGATTGAAAGCTCAATGGATTTAATATATAATTCTTTTAAAAAAATATTTATATTTTAGGTATAGATTGTCACAACACGATACTTTTATTTTTATGTGGTGCTGAGGATCGAACCCCAGTCTCGCCTGTGCGAGGCAAGCTCTTTACTGCTGAGCCACAATTCCAGCCCTATAATTCTTTTTTTAATATTTATTTTTTAGGTGTAGTTGGACACAATACCTTTATTTAATTAATTATTTTATTTTGGGTGCTGAGGATCAAACCCAAGGCCTTGCACGTGCTAGGCAAGCTTTCTACACTGAGCTACAACCCCAGCCCCAATATATAATTCTTGTTTGTTTTGTTTCATGGTACTAGAGATTGAAACCAGGGACTTTCACATGCTAAGCAAGCACTGAGCTACATCCTTAGCCTTTGTTAAGACTGGATATCACTAAACTGCACAGGCTGGCTTTAAACTTATGCTCCTCTAGCCTTAGCCTCCTGAGTAGCTGGGATTACAGGCATGGGCTACCAAACCCAGAAGATTAATTGAAGGTACATTTTTGGTGCCAGAGTCTTTTTTTTTTTTCTAAATATTTATTTCTTGGTTGTAGTTGGACACAAAGAAAAAGAAACTTTATGCTGTCTTGTGCTTTAATGAGAGCCTCTCCTTAAGCTTTTTATTTTTCATGGTTTTAGTTGTAGATGGATACAGTATTTTTATGTGGTGTTGAGGATAGAATCCAGTGCCTCACACATGTGGCTCTACCACTGAGCCCCAGCCCCAGCCACAGCCCAAGGTGCTAGAGTCTTTATAATGCAAGTACTTCTCCTGTGCCCTCATCTCAGAAGAATTCATATTATCTTGGAAGTTGGGTGGGCATAGAAGACATCTAGGCTGTTAAATCACACAGCAGGATATCCGCTCAATATGTCAGGCATTTTAGGTTCCTTGGATATAGATTATTCCAATTTTCAGAGTCTATGAGATACAATGAGGTGAACTCCAGCCTGTCGATTACCACCTATTGGGTTTACTTGCTGAGATTTTTGGTTATATGGTATAGAATATATCCACCCAGCCATTCCTCAGAAGGACTTTGGGATTTCAGGACTCCTGGGTATATACAGTCCTGTTCTCTTGGAGAGTTCTTGATAGACTTATTATAAGCTGTGGATAAAACAACCACATCAGACTGGCAAGAGAAACTGCATGAATAACTAAGGCCATTAGAATTGACCTCTAATGCTTTTTGGGTTTTTGCCCCCATTTATTGCTAATAAGAAAAATTTGTGTTATCTAGGACTGTATGTTAGCCACTATTAGGAATAGTGTCTGTCATTCTCATCAAATGTT